CTACAAACCAAGATGCCGTATCATACTTGAAATTGTCTCTATCAGACGAACAGGCTTTGCAATATGCAGAAGAAAAGAATGCAAAAGCTTTGTGGACAAGAATTAAAACTACCTACACTGGGCTTGAGGAAGATAGAAAGATTGATGCGGGTGCCGAACTTAAGAGCTTAGAAATGCTGGATTCAGAAGCCGTAAACGATTATATAGCTCGAGCTAAAGGATTATCGACTAAGTGTGCTTCCTTGGGACTGAAAATATCTGACAGAGAATTAGTGTTCTACACGGTCAGAGGTCTAGCTGGAAAATATGAGCGCATAAAACAAGTTTTAAAAACGCAACGAGAAAAGTCGATAGAAGAAATACTTGAAGTCTTAAGGGAAGAAGAAAAAGATTTACTACAGAAATCCCGTGGACATAGAAATTTGGAATCCGCATATGCTACTCAGAAGAAGAGTTTACCTAGAAAAATTTGCTACGCCTGTAGACAACCGGGACATATAGCAAGGGATTGTTATTCGAAACATCAAGAAGTGGGAACAGATAGAGGCTACAAACCATCGACCAGTCGAGCAAAAGGTCGTCGAAAACCAAATTATCAAGAAACTCTGGTATCCGAAAGTGCTACTCCAGATGATTTCGCCTTAGTTTAAGCTGAACAGAAAGGACAAATGGACGAATGTTGGATCCTGGATAGTGGAGCCACGTCTCATATGTGCAAGGATGAACGCTGGTTCGAATCTATAGATGCTTATGACAGCAAAATATACCAGGCAATTAAGACTTTTACATTAGATACTAAAGGAATCGGAACTGTTAAAACTATATCACTAAGTAATAATGCAAGAATTATAATTAGTAATGTATTGTATGTACCAGAATTACGTCATAATTTACTGTCAGTTACATGTTTAATGGATAAGGGGTATAATGTAAAATAACATTCAAACTGAGTATTCATTATTGCTCCTAATGGACGCATTGTTTTGAAAGCTTTAAATGTGAATAAAAAATTAGAAGCTAAGCTAAAACCTAATGTTAATAACGAGGTATGTCTTTCTGAGTGTAACAAAGTTAAAAATAACGCTGAAATGAATGTAATTTGGCATAAAAGATTGTGTCATTTAAATGCTGATTATATGCGTAAAATGTGTAAAATGTTAAATTTAAAAATTGCTAATGTTTGTGAATCATGTGATTTTTCTAAGATTACCAGAAAACCTCATTCTAGTATTTTAACTCCTCAAAGTTCAACAACTTTAGAATTAATACATGGTGATTTGTGTGGGCCATTCCCAGTTAAGTCTTTAGGTAATTCAAGATATTTTTTAGTATTAGTAGATGATTTTTCTGGCATGTATTTTACTTATTTTCCTAAGAACAAAACCGAAGTATTTGATAAAATTGTAAGTTTTAAGTTGAAATTTGAAAACTTAATAAATAAGA